GAAGATTGTGCGCCAGAGAGAGGTGGGAGTAGCAGTGGCACTTTGTGGTAGCAATTTTTTGTTTTTTGGATAGATGTGGCGTGTGTGTTTTCCCTGCCACGCCCTGTCCGATCCAATCCGATCCGATCCAAACAGTGCATTTGTATGCAGCATAGCGGATGCGACGGTCCAAGCGTTTATTTTTTCATTTCTTGTTCAGGCAAATGATGTTCCAAACCCCAGACCCCAGACAGAGAGCTGGATGGAATGCACTAAACCGCTAACTAAGCAACGAACCCCAAAAGAACCCGAGAGTTACGGCACCACAAAGAAGGAGAAGCATAAAGGGAACGGAGGAACGGTGTGGCATACAACAAGTGGGAGTACACTCGAGAAAAGATTACAGGAATTACAGGTCGAAAGTTGTAGGAAATTATACGAAATTGGATGCAATGGGATATTAATTAGGATAGAAATAATAGTTATAAGTAATCTTAATCGTAATGAGGGTAGGATGATGTTTAATTGATTATGGAGTTCTAGAAGATTATTGTTTATTTCTGTATCGTTTTTAGGGGAAATTTTCAATATAATTAGTAAACAATATAATCAAAATGTATTTAGAATGAAATGAGCACTAGAAAATATAATCTGCCATTTTGAATGGAAAATAATAAGCAAAATCAAAACCTGAACCTGAATCCCCAAATTTCGATAAGATTCGATAAGGTCACATTTGAAAGAATATCCCGTTAACTTTTTTGTCGAGGGTTTTTGTCGTTCCCAAAATGTTATTTAAATGTGCTCTAAAATGTGTATGAGCTCAAATTCAGACTAAAACCTTTAACTAAATATATTAAATTCGACATCCAGTCCTGATTTTAACAGCTTCGTTAATCCCTATTAATACTTAACTCCTGATAATTTACAATCTGTTATTAAATCCATTCCATTTTCTAGTCTCCACTCAAAAATTAAAATTCCAACAAATCATACCCATTCCAACATTTCTCTCAGTGTAGAGTTCTTGTTATTTGAAACCCGGATTTACACCAACATTAAAAAGAAAGAAGAACGAACAACAAATTACTTTTACCGATCACAAAACAAAACGAAACACAAAAAAAGAAGAACAGAACCCGGTGCTGCGACTGCGCAATGACAGCCCAGAGACTCCCCGCCTGAGAGGAGTGGAAAGAGGAGGAGTAGTGGGAGGTGGAGCCATTGAAGGAGTACACCAACGGAATACAAATCCATAAATTAAATCAATGTTGAATAAAATTTCCTATGTACGAATGCACTTGTCGAAAGGTTCACATCAGACATTGATATGCCCATCCAGAGTCTCCGGGGGGATACGACACGATACGATACGGATTGTGCATGCAGAACGGAACATGCGGTGCGGTGCGTTGTGGGGGCGTCTGTCACTGTCGATCGGTATGGGGACATTCTTCAGGCCGGACGAACCCTCCTCAATTATGGGGAATTCCGTTTCAGCAGAACATTCATAAGAGGGGAAAGGTTCCTTAGGCGACAGGCCACATAAAGAAGCTCATTTAATGATAATGCTATGAAACCATTTACTGAATATTTGTGTTATTATAAAAATGATAACTTTAATAGGTTCCGCGATGTATGTATATGGGTTTATGTATGTATTGTATGTATGCAAATAACTATAACAAAAAAACAATCAATTGAACAAATTTCATTCGTGAATCATCAAAAGCCTGATAACAAATTCTGTTTAGTAGCACTCAAATGAAACGCAAACAATGTTTCTAATGGTCAATCTTTTTTTCGTTTTTGTTTTTGTAGCACCCACATCTTGGCACTGTCCTGTCTTTGAGGAAACTATTGCTATGCTATGCTAGGCGAAAGATATAATCTAAATTAGTTCACAATCATTGCGAGTGTGCTAAACATTAGTTAGCATAAGAAGCTTATCGTCGAGTTCTGTCCTACTACTTAAGCATACAACTTAGATATTTACACAAATCCTATATTGAAAATCCTATGAAAAACTTTTGCTAATCTCGTTTAAAAACATGTTGGTTGAATCCCATTGCAAGTGTGTCTGTGTCTGTGTGTTCGTGTTCGTGTTCAGAGCCAGAGCAGGCGTTGGTCCCCCCGTTGGGGCTGGGCCAAGTCTCAGAGACCCGTGTGACTCGTCTGCAGCTGCTCAATGGAGATGGACAATTGTTCTAGGCGCTGCATCAGCTGCAGCATATTCTCCTGAGCCTTGTTGGTGTTGAACTCGTTGCCATGCTCCAGGGAGTCCTCCTCGGCGGCAGCCAGTTCGAAATGCAATTTGGCCAGACTCTCCTGCTGCTCTCGTATCTTGGTCATCTGATCCATGGTGCAGCCAGAGCCTGCTTGTTTTTGTGGAGCAAAGAATATTATTCAATTAGAAGAACTATCATTTGTTTTCTGTTTCGATTGAAGCTCACCGAATGCCTTCAGCTTGCCCGAATGGAAGTCATCCAGTAGGCCGAGGAGGGCACGTTCCATATGCTTGACATCGGGCACTTCAGAGACAAAGGAATGATGTTTTATTGGACGATCGTCGAATTTGTCGCTATGGACGCTGGCATTTGGCATCGATGCTGCTGCTGCTGTCGCTGCCGCTATTGACGGTTTGCGACGCTGCGAACGCGGTGTATTGGTGTTGCTATTATTATTAATATTACTACACGTGTTGTTGATGTTGGTGTCGTTGTGGTTGGGTTTTGTGCTGTCGTTGTTGTTATTCATAGTGCTGGTGGTGTTGGTTGTGGTGTTGGTGGTGATAGTGGGATCTGGGGATAACCACTCGCTGCTCACCAATGTAATGGCATTCAAACTATTTGCACTGCTGTGTGTGGGCTCCAATGCATCACCATCTGCACCACCATCATGCCAAATCATACGGGTGGAATGGAATTACATAAAAAAGTATAAGAAAGAAAAAGTACAAACATAAAAAATTAATAAACTAAACATCATCAAAGAAAATTATATATACAATATTCAGGTGCAAAAATCTATGAACTATGAATAAATAATGCTCCAATTATAAATTTCTATAAATATATACGATACAACGTGCGAATGAACCGACTTCTGCTGACACACAGAACCTAAAGGAGAGCCACAACCAGACACAAAGCCAAAAGGGGAGGGCTAGGCTCCAGGCAGAAATCAAAGCCAGATATAATAGGAGAGGCGAAGGCCCACAGGGAACTAAAAGGGGAGGAGAGGCATAGCGTCATACGGAACTACGAGGAGAGGCCCGGCCCGGCTCTGTCTAGGCACTAGGGAGGTGCTAGGCAAAAGTATTGTTATTTCAATTATTAAAATTATAACGAGATATCCAAGAATGTGGGTGGACTGGGCTGTGAATAATTTAGCCGTAATGTGTCGCCATATGGCCAAGTGGACAGGGGCACGGCTGACTCATAGCTAAAAAGAGGTGCGGGCGGGCAGTGACTCGATAGACACCCATCCATTCGACAGCTGGTTCTTATCAATAAAACGAAACGGAGACAGCTGACAGATCGAATACCAATACCGCGCGTTCATGGCAACTGGAAGATAAGGAGAAAACCACATGAGTAAGTCTGTTTCCATCGGCAGGAACCCACCTTTGAGCAGTTTGCGTGGCCTCGTCTTGAACTCGAAACGTTCATCGCCAGCACCACCGCTGCCGCCCTGGGCCTGGGGGCGTGGTCGTCTCTCGTTTACATAGGTCACCTTGGCGGCAGTGGGCTGTTGTCCCTTCTCTTTGTCCTTCTCGGATATGGTACGTTCTATGGAACAGGAGGCAGAGTTCCGGCTACGCGTGGTGTCCCCACTGGATATGCCTTTGATTTTGATCTGGAATATGGAGATATGATGAATCTTTGACCAGGAACTAGTCCAACGAAAGGGATTTGGGCGGGGTTTGGGTGTGATTATCTGTTTGGGGGAAGTGGGAATCTTTACATTTGGCACTGCGGGCGAGGCAGGGGTTTGAGCTGATTTCGGTGCGCTTTGGCTTTGAGCTTCTTCCTCCGTTTCCACATCGTTTGGCACGAGTTTCTGGCGCTCTACCACTTCATCGTTGGGCTCCATTTTTTCTTTTGTTTTGCTAAATTTTACAATTTCTGTTTCTACCAGTGTGACCGCGGATTTATTGATCAAATATACCGTCCGACCGTCCGAAATATTCCGAAACATACCGTCTCATTTAATAAATATACCGTAAATACACTGACGAATTCAAGTTATATTTGTGAGCGAAAATTAAAAAAACCTGCATATGAAAGTTTCTATATTCCTTTCTTCTTCAATATATCTTTGAAAATAGATAAATGATATTGACAAAATATACCAATATACCACCCCCCAACCCACCGGCATATCTAAACAGTTTTAGTATTTATTATTGGTTTGTCTGCAAATGGCACTAAAAAATACCATTTAACGTATATATGGAGATTTCGTCATTCCCATCATTCATCGACCTCCAGCCCGCCAGATTTGAACCGCAAAGGCGGCAAGGGCCGTTGTGTTGGTGCGATTTTTAGTGCAGACAAATACCATTTGAAACGTACGCGAAATTGAATTGAACAGCGTTGCAAGGTGTTGGCCATAATGACCTTTAATGTAGACGGCAGTAATTTCCGGTATCTTAATTTTCGGGTGGTTTGATTTCGGATATCATATCATATCTTGTACATCTTATCAGCAAGTGCAACCTCAAGAGCACCATGCAGGCTGCCCAAGAGTAGCCGCAATCTGGCTACGGGATCGAAAACGTCCAAAGGACGCTCCTTTCGCTGATACATTTCCAATTCGTTGCTCCGTTGCAAGTAGGCGATGAAAGTGCTCCTGGATATCTATCAAACGTCTACGATGATAGGGCGACCTTTGCGATTCAAATCCTGGCGGACTAGAGACCGATGAATGACGTGGAATGACGAAATATCTCAACTCAATCTATTTTGAAGAACAGTGCTGCTCTGCTAGATTTGTGAAAAAATGTCCATTGGCGGACATTCAAAATGTAGATTTCTCATGTATTTAATAATTAAATCATTAACAATACAGTGTCTTGCTTCAATAGATAAAACATGACATGTGAGCGCTTAGATTAGGCCTTCTTCTTGGCAAAGCCCATTGTGTAGATCATATGGACAATGCTAATTAGTCCGAGTCCGCACAGTCCCGCCGTAATGCCGAACAACGCCTTGTCTATGGGGCCACCTTTCAGGAAAACTGGCACATCGTTGACAGCCTAAAGAAACTATGCTTATCAAATGTGATTTACTTGAAATATGAATGGATAACTCACCTGGAAGACTTTCATTTTGTTAGACAATCCCTCGGGCAGCGCCATGGTCTTTATGATCTGTTATGTAATGCTGAAAATATGCAAAAAAAACCGTATAACAAAGCAGCCTGAATAAGTTTAAAATATTGTAGCACTAGCGAAATTAATGCAGCTGTTATTTCATGCATTAGTTTCGTTTTATTTCAATAAAAATTAGCTCTTACCTCAAGAAGCTTCTGTGAAAACTTACGAATTGCAATATATTTGCTGCAATTTCTTTGTAAATTCTAAAAATAGACTTCAACACAGATGTTTTTGACAAAAAAATGCATTCAAGAGTTGTCAGACGCTGAAGAGCAAAAATACTGCCAGAATTTGAATCCACGCGGGCTCCGCCAAACGTTAAAAATTCAAAATGTGCGACGTAGAACAAAGAACATTCCAATGGAACTATTTACAATTAACTAGTTTAACAATTTAATAGCATTTAAACAATAAAAACAATACTGTAAAAGAACAGAAAACTAAAAACAAACCCCAAGCATGAAGATATTCAAATTAAAGTTTGCGAAAATACAGAAAAAGAGCTAGTTTTGCCAGTCTTTCCCTAAAGACTGCCAAGCCGCGGAACGTCCAGTGTACCCGATTTATACGTTCCGCGCTATTTTGGCTTTTTGTGAATTTTTCAGCAGGCTCACAGCGAAAACAACACGCGGATTGCGTCATTTCTGCACTATTCGATTTTACGGCCGCATGTGAATGCAACACTGGTCGAGAGCGGGACGCATATACAGGCTCGGTACAAAGGTTCGTTCGCTCTTTTGGGGCGCGGCAAAAAGCCGTTAAGCACAGCCGTTGTCCCGCTCGCACACACATGGCGGAAAGCGCTGCGAGCTAAAAAAGCACTCCGAAGACATTTGGCGATAACCGTCTGCTGGTTGTTTCTGTGCGCCTGGTGGGGATTACAATAATTCTACACCGAATGAGTTGTGCAATTTGGCGGTCGGGCGTTCGTTGTGTGCAAGCGGCGGCCGGCTTCATAAAATTTGTAGACACAACGAAAGCGAACACCGAACGGCCGCAAAGATTCCGTTGGTTTCGATTCGTATTTCTCCATTTCTCGTCGTGTGGGGTGGTGGCTGTTGAGATATAATTTCTATGCGACAAGCAAAAATGGAACTTAATTTTAGACCGACAGACAGCTAAGTACTGCAGCAGCAGCAAACAAATAATATAATTTCTTTGGGTAAAAAGCTGTTTAAGCTCTCAGCAAAAAAAGAAAACGCTTACGCTCGGATCGGTCTCTGCCGCTTTGTTCCCCCCTGCGTACACCGGTGCCGACCATCGACCTGTTTTAAAACAAATACATATCGCCCTGCTAAAGCCTTCGACGATTTTCAGCGCCCAGCACAAGAACTTTCAAAAACTGTAGCTTCCATCAGAAATTAACTTGCCAAAGTTGCGATGCGGCGGGCTGCTTTTTGGTATTCCGAAACGAAACTTGAAAAAAGTTAAATCTGTCAAGTTCACCTCCGAGTGCTTTTATTATTACACATTCGTATGCCAGGGAGGGGCGGGGGGGACGATTGAAGAGAGAGGAGAGTGTTGTTCATGAGTGTTCGGTTAGCTTAGGGCTGCGGCTGGGTTCAGTACTGTTCTTTGTCTCTCTTTGCTCTCTCTCTCGAAAAGTTCCAAGCTAAATAATTCCAAGTTCTGAACTTGATTTGCAAGCTGCATCGTCTGACCATGTCTTACTCTCTGCTTCTGTCGCCGCCTCTCCTCTCTCTTCTGGGTGTGCGGTGAGTGTGTAAAAGTTCTGAGTCTAAGCAAATGGCGCTGAGAACATTAACCAAAAGCGTTATATTTTAAACATACATACATACATATAATACGTATGGGTTGGGAAACTAATATAGAAATCAATAGAATCTGATCACTTTTTGAAAAAGACTAGAATAACATGTTAGCCAAGATCGCTTAAGATGACGATCTTTTAGTGACTCGGAAGGTTCAAGGGATTCCAAAAATATTATCTGCCCTGCGCTTGTTCCCCAAATTGGTATAATCTATGGATCAAAAAGCACCTATGTAAATTCTCACACACACACACACACAACCAAACCCACACACCCTTACAAATCCATTGAAAAGCGCTGTTAATGCTTTTTTTTGTGCTTTGCGGATTGAAAGTTTTATCAGAAAGCCAAAATGTGACGGGGGTTAACCCCTCCCTCGTCTACAAAGGGGCTGGCAGCCTCAATCCCGGCCTGCGAGACAAGCTTATTTTCGAAACAAAAGTTCTCTAGGGCAGCGCAGCAGACCCGCAGAGCGGAAAAGTCAGAGGAGCTTATGAACGACAGGCCTTCAAGCAGATTGAATAAATTGAAGCAATTACTTATAAACATTTTATATCATTATATATTTTATATCTTGATCAGCATCAATAGCCGAGTACGTACAGCTACATACATACATACATATGTCTGTCTGTACGTCCGCACTTTTTCGTCCGTCCGTAGTTTTCGCAGACTATAAGAACAATGGCAACCAAACCGTTAATGCAGAATCGTAAAAAATGGTCATAACTACCGAATTGGTTTAGATAGGCCAGTCTATTGGTATACATCACCCTCTGAATTGTTAGGATAACAATCGTGATCGTGGGCCAACCATCGATTCACTTGCTTATGCAGCAAAAAATACCCTCGACCACGATTTATCAATAATTTACTTGCAAAACCTATTATGACTCAAATGTCACTGATGTAGAGCTAATTTTAATACTATTAAACGGATGACAGTTTCAGGGACCGCGATTTATCAAGAATTTACGTAAATAAACTTTTTGGCAGTCAGAAATGGTTAGACATTTTTGTCCACATATGATCCCGGATCCCTGATCACTCACGTATTACTCTCTTCTGTCGCCTCGCTCATCTGGGAGAGTGTGTTAAAGGACCTTGGTCAACCACCGATCAAATGCCTCCGAGAACTTTGATTATAAGCGTTACATTTTTAAAAAATTTTGTATGTATGATATGATATTGTGTCATCTAAAATATCTTCGAAATATCTTTAAAAATATGTACATAGTCGTATGTTTTTTTATTTTTTATTAAATCATAAGCACCTTAATTCTCACATTAACGCGACAGACACCTACTAACAAATATATTGAAAAGCGCTGTGAAAACTTTCAATCCGCAAAGCACAAAAAGCATTATCAGAAAGCCAAAAAGCGGGGTGTTACCCCCCTCCCGTCTACAAAGTGGCTGACAGCCTTAATCCCGCCCTGAGAACCAAGTTTATTTTCGAAAGAAAAGTTCTTTAGGGCAGTGCAGCAAACCCGGAAATCCCAAAAGCCTAATGAGCTTATAAAAGACAAGCCTTAAATAAGATTAGATCAGAAATAAGGAATATTTTATTTAAATTTCATAATAATTTAATTTCCAAGAAATGTTTTGTTTAGTGAGCTTTGTAAATAAGCTGCGTTTTATTTACTGAAGATAGCATACAAAATGCTTAATTAGCTTTTTGGCACTCAATGCGCTTAAAGCTTAAGACTCAAATATCAATTAATCATTGTGTAAACAGACACGTCTTGTTGCTGCAGTCAAACTCAAGAAATCCAAGTAAATTATTGATATAATATAAACCGCCATAGTTTTACTACCCTTTTCGGGAGGGACGATGGCTCGCCAACAGAAGAGCACCCTCAGCATCTGCTACTTTTTCGCGCAGCTTTGTCTCGCGTCCGTTTCTTTCTCGCAGCTTTGCCTATGACGAACCGACGAGACGGCAATAGTAGCAGAGATGCGAGACAGCAACAACAGAAATGGGGGCCAGGCCAGAACATGAACATTGGCGCTACTCCTTTTCCTTTTCGCAAAACAAAATGGATTGCTCTTTAACTAAAACAGTTATCAGGCGCGCAGAGAGAACAGCAGAGAGCGCAACGAACCATCGAACACTGAGCAAACATGTCGTATATTCATCTCTCTCGCTCGGCCGCACTGCTTTACCAAAAAGCACACCCAACCAGGGGCCAACATGAGCACGCCCGCTACCTTTGAGTGCTGAGAACCTGTTACAAAATTCACAAAACCGCTACGAATATAAGGCATTCACAGTATTCACTCACTCGCTCTGTGTCATACTCGTACTCGTTTGAGAGCAAGCAGTCCGCCAGCCCTAGACATAGGAGTACAGTGGGGCTTTTGGGGGCTGGTTGGGGAGTATTACTGTGACTTTTGCACTGCCTCTGAAAATCGTTTCGAATTTGAAGCAGCACTCGGAATCGGACTCGGACTCGCAGTCGCACCAGGAGTGGGTTCGGAACTGTGAGTGATTCAACAACGGTGAATCGGTTCGGGTTGGCTCTCCACTTGGCTGATGATTTTGTTTTCGATTAATGTTGTAAAAAATGTTTGAACTGTTTTAAGTTTAAGTTTTAACGGTAACAGTGACGCAGAAACGGACAGCAGGCTGCTTCCACTCTTGAACGCGGCATTGCGGGTGACTGAGAGAGCAACAGAGAGCAAGCGAGAGCAGACGAGTGACACCTTGACAATGAAATACGCTCACGCTCATTCACACACACACACACACACACACGCGAGCAGTTCGTTTACCTTTATTTCGTTTGGAGAATTAGATGCCCCTTTGCTTTTGCTGTTGTTTGCTTGTTGCTTCTGCGTTAGAGCGGGCCAGCAATATTGTAGGCCTTTAGCTAAAAATGCTAATTACTGAGAGAGGAGAACTATGAGTATGAGTATAAATATAAGAACTCAAATGTTTGCTCATTCAACATGTTGTTGTTGGTTCGTTGAAGTTTGTTCTGCTTATGCCCTCAGAGAGGGTACTCTTACCATACCGTTTATTTTGCTCCACGTATGTATGTTGGATACCTTATGGTAAATACTGTTTTCTGCATGTGGGAGACATATACATATGTAAGTATGGATTGGAAAGGGTATAGAACGTGAACGTTTTGTACGGACGCCAGTGCTGGGGGCCTTGCGATGTTGTTGTTTCTCTGCAAGGGTATCAAAAGCTTCGGTCTTCTAAGCTAACTTGCTGCTTCGGTCGTGA